AATCGCATTTTAGAGCAGTTTTGGGTGCTCGCAATGAGAATGCCTCTTCGTCGAGATTCTGGGGGGTCAAGAGAGGAGGGGAAGGGAAGGGTAGGAGAGGGAAGGGAAAGGAAAAATAGAGAAGAAGAACAGAAAAGGGAAAGGAAAAAAGAAGGAAGGAAAAGGGAAAAGGGGACCCCCCAGCATCTTGCTCCTCGAGGCATTTTCGTCGGAACGCTCACCCCCAAAACTGCTCTAAAATGCGATTTTGCTAGCTCCAGTCTGCGGGCCCACGGCTCCGTGGCTGCATTCCTGAAGTCTCGAGCGCCTTCGAATGAAAAATGTGATGCTGCTCACTTTCATTCAGGCTGGCTGTGGATAGCCTTCAGGGGGGTCTGGGGGGTGCTATAGAAGAGAGAGATATGCGAAGACAAGAATGACGAGAATGACGGAAATGACAGCCGATGGGAGGTGTGACCAAAATGTCACGACCATCAGGTCGACGAAGGAAATGGCAAAAATGACAGGAATGACGGCTTCTTTGGGCGTGTTTTTTGTACATACCAATCAATGGCACAAAAATGACAGAAATGACAAGAATGACAGCCGACAGAAGGTCGTGGTCTATGTTACACAACCTTAAGATCGATGGCGATGAATGACAAGAATGACAAGAGTGACAGGTTCTTTCGGGGTGTTTCATTTTTACAACACCTGCCATGACAAGAATGACAAGTTGCATGGGTCGCATCTCCCCGAAGTCGAAGTCCGACGTGACCTCGGAAAGGTGTCGGACTTTGCGGGACACCTCCCGGATCGTCGACTAAAAATTTCGGACTCCAGAGACCCGTCAGTTCTGTCATTCTTGTCATTCCCGTCTTTGCGGGCCGGCGGGCCCGCCCACGAATTTTCGCAGCCGGTGGTCTACACCCAGATGGCCGTGGGCAAATCGCGGATATGGCCCTAAACCCCCAAAACCCTAAACCCTAAACCCTAAACCATAACCCAGAAACCCTAAACCTTAAACCCTAAACCCTCAACCTGTTGCTGGACTGGCTCCCATGTCCCAAGGCTTTTTCAGTCTCTGCGGACAGTTGCACTTGTTGCAAGGTACGCATGTTTCAATGATCATGCTTTGCTGTGCTAATGGAATTGTGCATGTGCAGCATTGATGGCCCAAACGGTGCCAGGCAAAAATGGCCGTGGTGCCGAAGGTACGATAGCGGCAGCGACAAGACGTCGTAATTTTGTGTTCGGATGCATGGTTGCCATGCAGGTTCCCACATGATCTAGAGATGTTTCGCTTCAGGACGTATATGTCCAGTATACCCAAACATTGGAATTGTCATGATACGGTTTATGCAAGGCTTATGAAAGCGCAATCCCAGAACGCAAGCCCGTCGAAGCTTCATTTCAGAAAGCTCCAAGCACGTTGCATTCATGTTCATTTCGGCGTTGGGAAGCCCTCCAGACCCTGATGACGTTTCCTTCGTCGGCAGGCTGTGGAGTTTCAGCATGTCTCATCGCGGTTTTTGTTGCTGCTGCTGTTGAGGTGTTTGTTTTGTCTGATTACGCGACAATCATTTATTGTTCACAACATAAGTCATTAATCGTTCGATGTTGTCAGCCATCGGGATCTAAATGAAAGGTTGCATTCAAAGGGTTGTTTGTTATTAGGAATCCTACAATCATCGGACCAATTAAGCATTACCAATCAGGTGAACACGTAGTGGAGCGTAGAAGACATGTGCTGAGCAAACAACGTCAATTCAGTCCATGTTTCGTCGATTGGGCAAAACTGCAACTATCATGAACAGTTCGAATCAAGCTTGGGGTATGACTCATACCGTGAAAGGTGTGCATGTAGGTGCGCAGTGCCAGGTGTTTCAAAAACTAGACTCTTGTTTTGATTTTTTTTGTCAAGGCTTTCCAGGTCAATGCGTCGAAACGCTAGGCTGATTCTGGCCACAACCTCGGCGTTTTTACAGCAAATGTCAACTCCCATGGATAGCAGGGTGCAGGGCGCCACGGCAGCACTCTTCGAGCTGTGGAGCGATTCCGTAGTGGCTTGCATGATTATGCCGGTGTTGCGATGGTGGTGGCAGTAGCTCATTACAAGGGCTGACTCCAGGACAAAACGTATCAATGCATTTTTTTGGAAGCATATCTGCCACCAATCTTTGTTAGGCAAAATGAGAAGCACAGGCAACGTGGGGCGGTAGCCATGCACATGTCGCGAAGTTCACATTTGTCAAGGACCGTGTTTTTTGGGTTTCTTCTGGAGACGCTAATGTTGAAAGATGGTTTGACAGCAATGGAACGATTGCGCTTGAAGCTGGGAAGGTTGACATGCTCAGACGTGCATTATCCCAAACGTAGGAAACCTTGAACGCTTTGAGCGAAAGCAGACATCCTTGTACTTCTGATCTAACCCAAGGAAGGCGTCCACTGGTTGTTTTCCCTGCAGCCGCCCTCTGATACTGATACTTGGAGTGCAGCCTCTCGACAGAGATTATTGTTTAGTTCACGCATGAGTGCTTTTTTGTGGCTTTGATGGCATGGAAAACTTTCCGATCTGGGGCTTGAACTTCAATTTTCAGTTTGTGGAAAGGTTTTTTTTGAGCTCGAGATATCCGCTCTCTAGTTCAGAAGCTCAGACTTTGCGTTTTGCCATTCCGGTTTCTTGCACTCATTAATCCTTGGAATGAAGAGGGTCCGTGTTCAGGGCCAAAGTGCTGAGCCATTTGGAAGTAGGGTTGAAGTATCCGGGAGCTAAGAGTAGTGGATCTTCAGAAAAACAAAAAAGTAATGCCGAGGGCCTTGGGAAGCGCCAAAGCCTGAACTTTCAGATTCGAATCTTGAGCTAGACTGTGCCCTTTCTCGGCATAAGACATGGAAAGTCACCGGCCCTCAGGTCATGAATTCAAAGCCTTAGGGTTCGGGTTGTTGCGGCAGGCACCTCTTGTTCTACCAGCGCTTGTAGAACCCTCGTCGGCCAGCTCCTGCACCTTGATTGAGGGAATGAGGTTTAGGGTTCAGCGCTGAACTGGCAGGATCGCATGTTGCATGTGCAGGGAAAGATTTCAAATCTCGCAAAACCCCAACCCATGTTGCATGATACGTGGCAAACAAAGCATTGACTAGCTTCCGGAAGTTGTTTGCAAGATCTCGTGTTATGCCGACGAAGTCCGACACACCAACGGCATGAGTAGGCGGCTACTTAGCAATCCAGCAGCTGCTCCCGTGTCCCTTGATCTTCTGAGTATGCCACGCCCCTTGCAAGGACGTACATCCCTCATTGGTGAATCCCAGTGTGGACTTTCCCTGAACAATTCCAAATCCTTCAGGCCGGAATTAGCGGTCAAAATAGTCTTGCTCAAGTCTTGTTGCAGCTGCGGATACTTGTATTTCCCTTTGATTATCCTCATATCCTGGGTCTTGGAGCCCAGCCAGCCCTTGCCTTGAGCAAACAACATTTTCAAATGTCCACCCATCGTGTTTTCTCTTTTGGAGCCTTGCCATGTTCAACATGGGCCCAACCAAGCCTTGGAGACCAGTACCCCGAGCATGAATGCCTGAAGCAACTGTGATCATCTCCGCAGGAATATATTGACTAGAGACGTTTGCAGAAACCAGTCCAACACTTCCACGGAAGCCCAAATCAGATCTTAAACAAACTCGAAAGCTGAGATTGCTCATTTTGTGGTGTCGGTGTCGACAGTCTACAGGCATTTTTTTTAGATAAATGCTTGCAATCCAGGGGCTGACAGCTTGCGGCGTGTTTTCGGAACGACAAGATCTCAGAAGATCCTGCTGCTAGACCAGGAATGCAAAATTTCAAACAACATGTTTTGACGCTGTGCCAGAGACCCTAAACCTCAATCATCAGCCTAATAAACTCAACTCAAATCCCACAATCCTACAGAAGACCACAGGCATCAAGAGGAGTGTGAAGGCTGGTTCCAATTCTGTATCATCCCCATCAGGCCCTTGTAGCATCCCTCAAATTCACAGAGGCCTCTGCCTGGGGTCTGCAGCTGGGGCTGCGGTGATGGAGGTGGGGCGCTTTCCAGTGTTTTGGGGGTTTGGGGGAAGGGCTGGAGGCTTCAAGCTTGACAACTGTGCTGGTTCTTGGTGTTGTCTGGCAAAGCCAATGTTGATGGATAGCCATTTGTAGATGGCTCGTGCTGTCCGTGCAAGGGCGTTTATACTCTTTGCTGCTAGTTCTTCAAATGGGTACATGCTATACCTTTGGCTCGAGCATTTGAATTTCACAACTCAGCTTACTGGTGTTGACATGCTTGTGAGTTTGGATGTCAAATTCCGCGTTATAAGATTTTGCACAGGTTCTTGTCGCGTCGAAGGCAACAGTAACAGGTTTGTGTGTGAGGTATGGCATGCCACCAACCGCCACCAACCCCGGCATTCTGATGGCAGAGAAGCTGTAGTCTAGCAACTTCTTTGGTTCACGGTTCGAGGACCAAAGATGGAGGATCACCTGCGCAAATTTGGAGCTCCACGTCAAGCGAGTCAAGTTAAAAAAGAGTGGGGATTGTGACTCGGCCTCAGGGCTGTTTGCCTACTGTCTTTAACTGACATTTCAACTCGGAGCCGCATGAGTTCCTACCCGCCTTGATTGCCAGCATGAGAATCTGCACGTTAACCGGCCGTGTTCCAGGACGTTGATCGATAAGTTTGGGACCTTTCCGCCAGCCTACAGCTCATATCCACTCCTCCATGGACCGTTTTGTGCCTCCACCCCCCCAGAACCACAAAATCGCAAACGTTGCGCAAATTTTCGTTTAGAATGGATACAGAGGAGCACAGGGAACGCAATGTCCCGCACAATGCCAATTCCGCACCACCCATACCCCCCACCCATATAGCATATAACTCCTAGCTGGAACAGCCGCATCAAACATGCTCATTACCCTGCTCATGACTCTTGTTTTTTTGTGTTCTTTTTGTTTCGCATTTTTGTTTCAAATCTGAAATAAAAGATCCTTTCTTCCATTTTTGGTACTATTGCGCCTTCTTGGCTATGATTCCCGTTCTTCTTATGATAGTGTTGGGCATGAGGCGCCGCCACCCGGCTGGGTTCCGCCCTCGGCGCTACGACGTGCCCGTCCCCAGGCGTGGCATCCCTGCGAGCAAAGGAAGGCATATGCTGTTTTGTGGGGAGCATGTATGGGTAGAAGGTAGGAAACACAAAGAGCACAGTAGCTATGGAACATGGGTTGACTGCAGTCTCAATGTGCTACAGTTTTTCTCTTCAGTTTGGGGTATCAGAAATTGTGCCTGTCCATCTAAGGTGTAGAGGTCAAGAAGCAGGGATTACGCATGGTTCAGGGATCAGGGTCAGATTGGAGGATTCAAATTTCAATTGTAGGGTTCAGAAAATGGAGATCAGGTTTTACGGCTTGATACCTCAAAGCCGAGAGATCAAGAAGGCAGAAGTTTTTCACTGTCGTCGTGGTTCGTGCTACAGCGTCAATGTGATTTCTAAGATTTCGGTGATTGTTGATGACGTATGCCTCATCCTGTGTCGGGAAAGGAAGATGTTTTCTGGATTGTGTTCCCCTTCTACCGTTGAGGGTGTGCCGGATGTCGGGGGCTTGAGGTCGACGAGTGCTTTGGCTTGCCACTTGGTTTCTGAGCGGGCTCTTAGAGTGGTGAGTGGGGTAGCATCCCAAGTCGGGATGCTTTTTGCTCGCAAGTGTACTCGCAGCCTCCCAAAAACCGTTCCGAAACTCACTGAATTCAGCCCAGCCCCGACTCCCTGTTTCAAGTCGTGTGTTAGGCTCAGTTGACGTTGGCTTTCTGAGGCCCCATTCCAGGATCTGAAATGGGGCTGTGGTTGGTACAGTGCCGAGTATAGGGGGCAGGAAAAGTCCCGCACATCCTCCGGAGCCTCAGAGTGTCAACCCTGAGCTTCATTCATGTCTTGCAAGAACTGCTGCAGGCTTTGGAGACGACTGCGGATACGAACAAGTCCCTGCTTCAGGCTTCATATATATATTTATGTCAGATGTACTATATGTCATATACACATGTGGAACTATGTGTCAGTGGTCTCTCTGTACTATGCGGAATAAACAAGGATTTCCATCTGGCGACGCCTTCTGACCCTTCCCCCCTCTGATAAAGCGTTCCGTGAACCGCTGTGTCTCTCAGCAGAGCTTTTTGGGCAATCATCCGCCCTTCGGGGCTGATCATTTGATGATGGTTGCCTGGAATCGTTATGCACGGTTTAGTCGTTGACAGTTTTTTAGCAAGGATTTTTCGTTATAAGTTAACGGTACGGAGGCATGCCAAGAGGCGATGCTTCCAAGCTGGCAGTGTTCTGCGGTAAGATTTGATATGTGCAGGGAGGGAAGACGCTGTGCTGTTGTGGACTGTAGAGGGCCGCTTGTTGGCGTATGCAAGCATGCTTAGGGCTTAGGCGTGCTGCATACCTGGAGTAGCCCCAAACAGTACTTGCGAGTTCAGGTTTGATGCACCTCATGGGGAACTTGGAAAATGGATGGCCAAGCCTGAGAGCCGGAAGCGTAGCAGAAGCTTCAACATCCAAACCCCGGCGCTGACAATCCTAAACTTGAAGCCAGCATCCTGCTCATTGCAGAAACTTAGAAGAAAGAGCCTGAAACACAAGAGTTTGTACCCTCAGCCAGTGTTCTCTTCAGACGATGTTTCCTGGCTTTGCCTTTGACACAGTCCTGGTGGCACTGCCTGGCGCCCATGTGCGAGGGTTGGGAGTGGAGGTCGATACTGTCATACCAGAGGTGCCTGAATACTATCGGACAATTTTTTCCTATGATCTTAGCATTCCCATCCAAGATTGTTATGAAGTAATCTTTGAGCGGGCAAGGACAGGTGTTGAGGGCTCTGACTTATGGATGCCTGACACAAGAGACCTTAATGTGAGTTCTGCATCTGAAGCTTTCTGTGGGCCTTGAAGTCTAAGACGGAATGCAATAGGGGAGACATGATGTGACCCGACTTTTCCATCAAAAGTGCAGAAATGCAGAAAGTGAAACTGCAGGCCTCAAGGCCTCACTCTCGGGGTATGCATCCTTTGGGGTGGATTGATGGGGCATGGTTTGGGCTTCTTTTGGGGTGGTCTGGATTTATGAGATGAGTGTCTAAGGCAACATATTGTGGCGGCTCAGCTTTCCTTGCCAAGGTACAGCATGACCTAGACGCAGCATCATGGGGGAGGCCATTAGGCATTGCTAAACGGGAGAGGTGCAGGTAGCATGAAGGCCCCCATGCATCCTAACGTGTTTGTACCAGCTTTCTTCGACTGTAAACAGCACCCATTCAAAGCCTAGTCACTATAATGCCTGCCGGATATGCTCGAAAAAGTTGTGAACCGCAAGAGTGTACGGCGACTCAAGGGCCTTGCTAGAAGCCATGTAGTCGCACAGTCCCAAGCCAACCCGCTGCAGAACACCTCCCTCAGTAGGCAGCGAATGGAAAGGCTTTGGGGGTCTGAAGCTAGGATCAGCATCATGTTCGAAGACTTTCAGTTCTTGTCTCCTCGAGCCCTGCCCTGGCCCAACGCAGCCTGAAAGCAGGTATTGCCCAACTTTGAATCAATTGCAAGCCTGATCGCAGACTTGCCGCCCTGGATCTGATTCTCAACCTCAAGCCCTACAGCTCCTCAACCTTACCGTCCAAATCCTCAGCCTTGAACTGGGCTTCTCTGTATTGCAGCACCCCAGCCCTGACCTCACCTCCAAACGCCAACTAGGTCGGCGGTTGAGTTGGCAACCTACGGGGCATTGATCTGCTTCTTGCCCACAGTAGGCACTACCTGGCCATGTTGAGGGTTGACTCGAGTTTTGCATGTCTTTGGCCTGAAAGAATAGCGAGGATGTCACATTGTGGGATCCGCACTTCAGCGAAAGGGTTTCCAAGTACGACTTTTTTATACTTGTATTTGTTGCAGAGAAGCGTAAGGGGCCCTTCATGCATACCTTAAAAAGTGTAAGTGTACCACATGCCCTTGATCAAAGGGCGGGATCTTCGACGGGTGGCAAGAAATCGCTGCGGGCTTTTTATGGTGGTTCAGTGGGCTTTCCAATCCAAGTTGGACGTCGTACAACATAATGTGGCAGCGGGGGCCCATTTCGTGCGTGGACCTGTGCTTAGCTGCTGCAGCCAGACTGCAGGAGTTTCAATACAGACTGATGTGTGCAAAGAAGCCGCAAAGTCAATGATGTAGTTTATGGAGGACTAGGCAATGTCACAAAGTCAAACTCCTCATCAGCCTGGGCTCGATGCGCAAGGTTTTGTCTCGTGCTCGTTCGGCCTGCAGTGCTGCTAGCTTTGGTCGCCTTTGCTGTTGAAGCGCTAGGCCTAGAGCATCAGGACAAATCTTATCAGCATTACAAGACAATGGCAGGTTAGATGTAGTACCCGCACCACAAATCTTGACTCTTATGCCAAGCTTCAACTTTCATGGCATATTGCAGAATGCAAAGCCCTACACCCTGCAGTAAGCTGACCTCTCCCCTCACAGGCCAGGGCTACCCCACACTCTGTGGACTCTACAGCTGGGGCGGGGGCTCTCAGGAGTCCATATGCACAGGAAATGCATACCATTGTGAATGAATGTCATGGTATACATGTAGGCCTCTGCGCAAGTTTGGTGTCCCCTAAACTCAGTGCAATGCTTCATGAAGGATCTTGGGCTGATGCATGAAGTGTTCCAGGCAAGACTTTCAAGATGTATAAGCGTGCTTAACCTAGAGCAAAATCCTAGGCAGCTCTTCTGCAGAGACAAGTTAGGGGTCTCTCTGGAGCGCTGATGGAGATGGTGCATCTGATTGCATTTCTTGCGTCCACTTGCACTGGCATCCTGTAGCCTGGCAATAAAGGCTGCAGCTTAGGATTTGAACAAATTGCCGTTGATTCTGCCGTAGCATTCGAAGGATTATCACGGTCTAGATCTCAGGTGCCAGTTATACGCTTGCGAATATCAAGATTACTGATAGTTTTTGCATTTGCCCTTCTTGCTCGATACGGCTTCAGTAGCTTTGTTTGAGTGCTGGCTCATACGAGACCACTCATTTTTGGAGTATGACCTCAACAATCTCAGATTGGATTGGAATCGAGCCGTGGCATTGGTGCGTCGTCACCATTTTTTTGGAATCTGTGTTTCAGACCTGTGAACACACACAGTCCCTACATTGTGTGCATTAAGATATGCTTCCAACCTGGGAAGCAGGCGCAAAATTCCTTTGGATAAGTCAGCAGCCCGCACAAAGTTGCAGAGACGCTTGGGAAATTTTGGCGCTTGACGGGCAGATGTGGGAGCAGCTTACACAAACACGACGTTCAAGTTGTAGCTTTCTGGCAATCCCCTCGTTTTCAACCCGAGCTGGGGTAACTAGAGCTTAAAGCTGACTAATACCTCAAACTACCGCGATGTGGCATGTGTTGTTGGACTCTTGTGGCTTTGTTGTCGCTGTTGCTACGTACCCCAAAGGAGATTTCGAAGAGTAAGGACGAGAATGATTACAGTCATGCTGATAGTTTGTGTAACTTCACAGGCTTCTTAGCTGTAGATTTCAAATCACATTATTGCTCATTTTCGTAGAGGCAGCTATATTGCAATTCTTAATTGTAGGGCCTGTCAGAGATGCCAGCCGAGGTGCCGCCTATGCGCCTCAGATCGCCTCGGGCGCCCTTTGGCGTCTGTTGGCGCCGCCTGGGGCCTGGAGGTCTAGGGTGGGCTTATGGGATTTTCGGTTCGTCGTGGCAGGCTTTTTTTGGCATCTGTGGTGGTCAAGGATTTACGTAAGGTTTCCTGAATGTCATTGCAGTGTGAGGTGCGGGGTTGGTAGGGACGTGGAGATGTTTCGAAGGTTGAAATCCCGGAGAGCACCTTAACACCGTGATCAACGCAGTGAGAACAGTGCTGGGAAGCCCCATGCGCTTTCTATTTAAGGCCTTCTGAGCTCCAGATCACAAGCTAGACTGCAAGTTGTACTTCTTGTCCAACTTGACCTTGTGGTATACCTCATTACCTTTCTCTGCGGACCCAAGGTACTTCCCCCTTGGCGAGACGTAGCTTGAAAGTGGGATCCCAAACATAAAGATGGCCCCGGACAGATAGCATCCTAGCAGCCGAGGACTTTTCTGCATGCTAGCTTCTCGCACGTGCTGACAAACGTGATCTTTCAGCTGCGCTTGGGCTTCTCAGCGAGGCCCTCAGTCGTGAGTGATTGACAATATTTGTCCGATGATCACAGCGTTGTCCGTCAGCCGTTGCATAGCTGTGAGTTATTCTTTGCCAAGCTCGAGGTGCCGAACTGCTCATTCATGGGATATTGAACTGCAATAATGGGTTCTCAGCTGGTAGCAGCTGGTAGATCGATGGAAGGCGGCCCTGCTTGTTTTGATGCTGTGGCATAGTCATAAATGCTAAGACGTTCCTCTACGACATCATGGCGTTGCGGTCTGAACAGCGAGCCAAACAAGTGAGTCATAGTCAACGAGAACCGTTCCTGTGTGACCTGATGCTGGAAGCTCTCATAGCCGCAGCAAGTCAGTACGGTTGGTTCCAAAAGGATGCAGCAGGATTTTTCTCGACGTCGGCTTCTGACTGCTGCATTTGGAACCCTCAGCCCTAAACCGTATACGCTGAAACATAAATCCCAAAACCTGAGCCCTGTGCGCAAACTGGTAATTGCCAACTTCGATCAGCTGAGCACGGTCGTTGGACTTGCCATTGGATCTTGATGGCTGCCGCTTCTCATCCTCAGCTTCGACCCCGCCGTGAACCGCTATAAACCAAGCAGCTGGGGCCGTCCAAGGTTGAGGAGTCGCTGGGGCACTGGCGCTTTGCTGTGCTTTACTTCACTACTGGCGCCTTTGGCAGCCTGATGTCGGACCGGTGCTCAGAGCGTTGTCGGGGATCTTTTTGAAGGGTTGCGGTTGAGGAGATTGTTGAGATGTAGGGTTTTCAGAATTCCGGCTATGCTTCTGACAGGAATTCGGGTCTTTTGGATTCCAAAGGATTGTTGCATGAAAGAACATTTCCTGAGTCTCGGGATTTCCAGTGTAGTCTAGGTTTGGGATCTGATGGTGTAGATTTGGAAGCTAAAGTGTTTCAGAAGCCGAACTGTGCGAAGCTGAATAACTTCTTGCGCGACTAAGACTGGCAATCACTAGTTCTGGCAAGCACCATGCCTCGACGTTTTGCCAGGCTTTGTAAGCTGTTTTTCATGAAGATGGGTCATTTTCGTAACCTATGATCCCGAAGTGGCAGCAACTTGATTCTGATAGACAAGACTTGAAGTTGGGGTTTCCATCTTGGAGTTGTAGGTAGCAGCAGGCTGCCTAAAATCGGTGTGGTTGCAAATGTTGGTCGCGATAACAATCATGTCGGCGTGTAGTGAGATTGAGGTTAGAGTTGTTCGAGCAAGAGCAGGGCTTCAAGAGAAATCAGCAAGAAGTGCATAGAAGCAGTTAAATGTAGGAGCTGCCGTTGAGTGACCTAGCTTTTGTGTGTTAGCTAGCGCAGATCCAAGATAAGACTTGCTCCTCCTTGCGCTTGCATCGTGTAAGGCGTTTTTTGCGTTGCTCTAAGAGTCCTTCCAGGAAGAATGAAGCTGTGGAATTGCAAGGCAGGCCAATGTGTGTAGACGCATTTCCAGAGCCCCCTCACCAGCCCGGTCCTGCGAGGCTGCGATGACTCCCCAGACCGTTGCGGTAGGTGCTTCGACCAGTGCGTGCGAGGGCCCAGTACAGGGAAGGTGTCAGAGATGATACTTTCGGGGAAGTGGGCCCCCTAGATAGTTCCTTGGGTGTTGCGGCGCTCTTGAGTTCATTTTTTGGTTTGCTGGCCACCCAATGTCTACCTTCGCAGGACTTTATGTTGCAGTCTCAGGTCCATGCACGCTTTTGGTTGCAGACTTCTTCAATTCAGGTCTTCTCAAGGATGGCATCAGTAGCTTTTTGGGCATAGCTTTTCTTTTTGGTATTTGCTAAGTTGCTGTAAGAGCGGGATAGTTCTCTGCTTCACAGAGACCAAGATAAAAGGAATTCCGGAAGCTTTGTGGTGTATTGGGTGGAGAGCAGGCCTTATTGGAGGCAACATTTTTTCGATAGCTGTGACCTTGCAAGGCAGATGGCCCCGAAGGAATATTTCAACTATCACAGAGTTTGCTCATGACAGTCAAACATGAGTCACGTGCTAGGACATGCTAGGACGCTTTATGCGCATGGTCTGCCATGACCGCTCACTGAGTTTGATAGTTGCCAGAGAATAGCAGGGACTGTAGTAGGGAGGGTCGATATTCGCTTGCGCAGCGGGGATGGCGCTGCTTGCATTTAATATGTCTCGCATCTCTACAGCATCGGGCCCATTTACTGTCATTTTCTCGAGTGGATGTGAACCAGGCTCTGCATGGCCTAGGAGGAGTGGAGCATTTAGTCGCTAGAAACATTGCCTTCACGCAGCTAGGATTCATCTCGGAATAAGCAGGCCGCTGGGGAACTGAATCTTCGCGCATGTTCAACACCCTTAAATCCCCTAGAACCTTCCAAAAAAATAATCCTCTAAAGCCTTCCAAGAGCTTGCAACTCCTTTCAATCCTAAATTCAGAGGCTCGGCCTGCTGGGCGCCCTATTGGCACGTGCATACCTGTGCTCCGGCCGCCAGTATTTCGTGATTGTGGGGAGAACGCGGTGAAGACGATAAGGGAGTGGGCCTATGGGTGTAGGTTGGGTTTTTGTATCCAAAACTCTGCAAGATCAAGGCTTGAGATTTATCCAAGACTTTAACTTGGGCTAAGACTCATTTTACTCCTTCGGTGTGGTTTGGGCCTTGATGGACCCGGTATGCGAACGCAACTGAAAAGCCTTCTTGAAGGGCATCTACTTGTACCTGATGATTGCCTGCGTGACGACCGGCATGACGCATCTGGTTGACACTCCAGATGGAATGCAGACGGCAGAAGACATCTTTAAACCAACTTAACAGCTCGAAAATGTTGAGTTTCTTAGTTCAATAGCTGATCAGTAACTGTAGCCGCGCTTGACGCCTCTATCCTACACATTCCGTCCCAAGGTCCCAGAAAAGTCCCATGGCTTGGCTTTCAACCAAAAGCTTGGTTAATCCCTCCAAATTTGATGATGCGTCTGTCGAAGTTTTAAGCTCCAATTTTATCAAGGCATGTCGTGCCGGAATGGAGTTTAGAGTCGAGTGTGCCTTTGTCCAGCCTTTGGGATTCGTTCCTGGCGGAAACTCTCCCCAGACTCTAGGTACCCTAAATACATTATGCTTCCAAGTACAAGTAAGAGTAGGGTTTAGGGCTTATGGTTCGAGCCTGTCATGCAGCTATTCTACGCACTCTTGTGCATGACGCCACCCGCCCAGCTCTACAAAAGAGGAAATGGGACAATAGAAACAGGGCAATAGCGACTGCATAATGAGTTGCAGGTAGCCGCAAAGAAAAGCGTTTTTCGTTTACTTTGAAGACCCATGCCAAGGGGCGAAACAGCGCAGAGCCACGGCTTGGCTGTGTCCAGCATTGCCATCCTCATTCTGGTGAACAGCGGTCCCCAGGCGGATGCAGCCTGGCTCTATCCTGTGTACAGGTTTTGGGACTGCTGGGCATGGTGGATGGCTTCTGGCTTTGGCCTAGGTGCGTAGCAGCAAAGAGCATGTAAAGGCTGGACCTGTGTAAGTTCAAGATTTCGCAGCGCTGGCGGTAATATCCATGACTTTGACAGCACAAAGCCGTTTTCAGTTGTAAGCCCTCAATGCTAACACCATATGCAGAGTCAGTGTATTCCTTACAGTAACAGTATCAGGAAAGCTAAAGTTAGTCTCAGCAGGGCACTGTGAGCTGAGGTGTTTGGTCACCTGGGAGGCGCTGCAAATTTGATGGCGGCTGTCCGTGAGCTTGTTCTTATTTATGATTGCCATGGCTGCGTTGCTTCTCATTGTTGATGGATTACATCCTGCACAGCTCGCTTGAGAAGATAGCCCAGTCTCTGGAAGTAACGGTACCGAAGGCCTATCAACAATATGCTTGCCATTGAAAGGTTCCCATCATCATTCGGTTTCCTAAATGAGACATATTCCTCGTAGTTGGCCAATCCAGGAGGGTACCTACCTTGCGGCCGTTTCTGGAGACATGTACTTTCCTGGTAGGTGCGAATGTTCTAAAGCGTAAAGTGAAGTTTGGAACTTCAGGTGAGTGGTGATCGTTTTTTCACGCAGGGTGCTCTTTGGGGGTGATCGGCTGTCGGTTGGGACATGCTTTCTTGGCTCATTCCTGTTCATGTGCACAACCAACAGTTATGACTGCACTTGAAGTTGATGTACTTCATTGCAAGATGGCCTTTCCCACAAAGCAAGCTATTCCGAGGATCAGAGAGCATTGAATGATTTACCTGAATCCTATGATGGCTCTATGCAAGACCCAAAGCCACACACAACAAGCCCGACATTTGCTTTCCACCGACAGGTCTACTTGCAGGATTCCTGCTCTACATAGTCCTCCACAAAGGCGCTGCAGTCTGACTGGGTTGTCTAGTTGGGATTCAGAGAGTTCAGGATTCATTAGCTTGTTGTGCCCTCCGGAGGATACCCGTCCCATGTGGCTAAATGTCTGCATGTTGCGGCCGTGAATGGTGGGGTGTCGAAATCATGGGCCTCGGCCTAGTGCTACATTATGTTCTTGAGTACTTTGAAGATCACAAGAACTGGGAATTCGTCTTGCCAGCTGCCTATCTAAAGCATGAAGCCCCCAATTCTGAATTTAAGGCATAAACATTTCCGACAGTTGTGCCGACCTCAAGAAGAAGCACCGCTCCGCACGGAAATGCTCCCAACATGTTCTGCAAATGGTTTGCAAAGGGCTGCAAACTCCGCAGGAAATGTGCAATCGCATGGCAAAAGCTGTGCTCTCATTGTCTAACCTGTAAACCTCAACCCCCTACCCAACCCCGCAACTGATGCCCCACCAAACCCTAAACCCCAGAGTCATCTGTGAGGCGAGACAAGTCCTGGACACCTCCGAGGCACGGGATCGTGGAGAGATCACCGCAGAAATGCAAGCAGCATCTTCTCTAAATAAGGCTTGGTATGGACCGGTAAGCAAATGAGCATGTTAGCAACGGCGTCGTTTTGCTGAGGTCCAGGGAGGGGGCTAGTGTTTGAGGCTTCAGAGTTTGGTAGAACCATGTAAGCTTCCTGATTGACTGAAGCTGCACGAAGCAAGTACCTGAACTCAAAGGGTTGCCATACAACCAGTGCAGCTGGGGGCCGACGCAAGATCATACAAGGGTCGGCTAGGGACCTTGATCATCTAGCAAGAAGAGTTGAGTGCTGTTTGGGTGAGAGAGACTTGAGCCATCTTCCTTCTGATAGGATCCTCTATCCAAGAAGGGCTGCTCTGCACGCTTGGGGCTTGAGGACTTTGGAGTCGGGTGCCTTTTTGATCACCTCTGATGTCAGGGTATTGGAGGGCTTTGGATCTGAAAGGTTGGGAGATCCGGGCCTGAGGGCTTCCCATGGAAGAACTTGAGGGTTTGAGGGATGCAAGCTTTTGTTTCTGTGGCAGTGATGATTTGGGGGGCAAAAGGTGCATTGCAGGGATGGGAAACCCGTCGTCCCGGAAACTTCAAGCTTCTTATTCAGAATGAAAACCGCAAGGACTTGAATCTAGAGACCAAAATTCAGAACATCTTCCCTTCTTTCCTCTCTGAGACACTCTGAGCCCTGAGCCATAGCAAAGCCACAGTTAAGCTTCAAATTGTACCTTCTGTGAGCACTGCACCTTGAACCCTTAGAGCTAAAGCCTCTTGAGCTCAGTCCCCTGACCCTTTTTATCGTTTGGGTTCGTCCATGGCGCCTAGCCATGGCCATGATGGGAAGGCCATCAAGTGGGAGAAGGAGCGGGTGGGCTTACTTAGGTTTGCCGGTTTAGCAAACAGTTCAGGCATGGATGTTGAGTGCGGAGGTTTGGGAGGAAATGTGAAGAATGCTCCAAGGAAGCACATGAAAGCCGTTGTGACCTTGGACATCATTCTCAGCCTCGACAGCATTGACAGCTGACCCTCAATGCGAAAGCCAAGTTTTTCTTTCGAAGAGATGCAACAGACAAAAGCACTCCTTTGATAAAAAACATTTTTGCTAGGATTCTGTATCCCAAATCCCAAGCCCAAGGTCACCACAAACCCAGCGTCTTAAATCCTTATGCAATCCCTGAGCAGTCTTTGATGCTCCAATGTTTTACGTGAGCATCGGGAATCTCTCGGCTGGAGGAGATTGCACAGAACTGGTGGAAACTGGATATCGCGCCGGAGAAGTTTTCCGGCAACCGGGAAGTGGCTGCCTGGTTTGTTCGTACATGTATCAACAAGTACCCGCTTCAGGGAGCCCGAACAGGTCAGTTCGACGAAGTTTCAATTGGTTTGATGGATGGAAGGATGCCTGTTTATGCTTGTGTGACCCTGTCCAGCCTGCCCAACTATGAGGGTCTTACCTGCATGCCGGATGGGGTTATCCACATGAGAGGTGGGCCCTAAGAAGCCATGCTGCCCAAATAGTAATAACGAGAGTGCTTCGCATGATGCATTTGCATCTTTGAATGTCAAAGTCATCGATTGCATGGTGGTTACCCTTCTGTTATACCACTGTTTAGTAAATTCCTGATTCCTACTGGTAAGAAGCATCCTAAAGAGTATTGCTACAATGAAGGGGTGGGCGCAGCCGCTGGTTTTTGAGATGTGAATGTCATGCTTGTTGACAGTGCTGAGGTCAGCACAGCCGTCAATCAGGACATTGGGCGGTGGGTTTGCTGAGGCTTCGGGGGTGGTATCAGGTCTTGGCAGGATGTCGCAAAAAACTCCCTGACACCCAGTCTCATTTGCTGGCCTCAAAAGGTGCTGCGAAGCTTTTGATACATCAGCTGTGGGGCCTCGAGGCATGGTCAAGGGGGTGCTCCCTTACAAAGGAGGATCCTTGCTTGATTCTCAGCTGATCTTTGGATGATGTTGAACCTGCTTTCCGGTCCCGGACCAATGCGTTGCAAGTGGCTTGTTCCAATGCTATGTGCTTGCCTTCGCTATCTGATGTGTAAGAATGTGCTTGTTGACCATCTTACGCGTGCTGAGAACGAGTTTCGGAATCCCTGCTGATCTTCCTAGAAACAACTACCTGCAAACCTGCACTGGGTGCAAGAGATGGGCATGCAAGCTTGGGGTGAAGCTACGTTTATGACACGGTCGCAACAGTTTTCCTTGAGATCTAGGTCATGTCTTTTCTCGCTTTCTGAACTCCTGTACCTTCGCAGCTGTACAAAGACACGCGATACTGTTCCGAGCCTGGCCAAATTATCTGGCGATCTTTGCAAGTTTAAGTCCATGGGCTTGTGTGTCGAATTTCAACGCCTTGCTCCTCAATTTTGACTTGACCAAGGAACGCTGAATCCTGGATGCCATTGACCCACCCCAGCTGCTCAAACAAGAGCCTAGACCCTGAATCCAGTGCCAGGATGGTCTTGCCCTGCGCCACGCCACGGATGAGCTCCGGAGCGATTGGCATCCTGCCTGGTTTAACACTGCTGGTGGAGTGCAGGGATCCCAGAGTGCCTTCAACCCTGGCAATATAGCCGCCCGAGATCTGCAAGGTTGGCACTGCTCATTGGCACTTGATTGAACTGCCATGGATTGCTTCGGGTTTTCTAGAAGTTTTCTACTCAGACCTACCTGCAAAAATGGCCAGAATCCTTTCTGACTGTTGACCAAAACTTGCCTTAATGGTCTTGAACTCCCTTAGTTGGTGCCAGGAACACCCAACCAGCTTCTGAAACCTGGCTGAGAAGCCTTGAAGGCAACACCCCAGAAGCCTCGAGCCCTGAAGCCTCCAATGAAAGCTTCTAAACACTGAGACCTGCCGCTTAGAACTCCTGCAGCCCCTCTGTGATCCTCACCCATTTTTAGGGTTTAAGGTTTAAGGTTTAGAGTTTGATTCCAGAACCCTCCAAACAAGCCAGGTACCTCGTTGCCCAGGCCGTTTGCCGGGACGGAGAAGCTTTACAGCTACTTGCCTCAGTACAGAAGACAACTTTCTCTGGTGCATGGTATGACCCATATCGAGGAATACCAGCCGGAATCACTGTGGGTTTCTATGCAGAGTATTGAGGAACTGCCAGAACAGGACATTCGGGTTGCGGCAGTTGTCTATGTTTCATGATTGCGATCAGATCTCAACTACGAAAACCCTGTGTGGCCTGATGGAGGCAATGTGTTGGCAGTACTTTTTGGTAGCATGCTGCATTGCGAGGTTTGGGCTTTCAGGCTCCATCTGTACACAGGCGATTTGGCCTTTGAAGCTGAGGTTCATGCTGAGTTGACGCAGCTAGGCACTTCAAGAACATGAGCCAAAGCCAACTTCAATGACCACCTGCGATGTCACCTTGATCCATGCCTACACCTTACCCAACCTTGCCCGAACCTCTCCGCACCAGGAAGGGGCCAGGGCATGTGCCCATCATCCTGACCTCAAACGTCATCTATGTGTTGTGATTCCTTGCATTTGCCATGTGCAGTCTTATGTAAACGACCCTACATGAACGCTACATCCCAGCCCCAGCGTCACGAAGGTTCGCCAGTCCAGAGCTGCGGGCAGATGTGCGGCTCGTGAAATGGGCTACTTGTCAAAGGTTTGGGTTTCGCACGGTGGTGCTAATGATGCGTCAGCTGCCTTGGGCGGAGGTGCATGTATTCTTGTCACATGAAAATGTAAGATATTCAGGCTCCAGCCTCAGAGAGTGTCCAAATCATGGAGGCTTCGCGAAACAGGACCCAAGTTCTGGTTTGTAGAAAGGGGCCAGCATTCATGGAATCTCTCGCGTAGTGTCAACTCAGCATTGACAAAGCTTTGCGCGGACATATTGAATCGGGAGCACGTAACTGCCCAGCTTGTGTTTTGATTCAGTGCCATTGAGCCATGCAGACAATGTGTCGGAGAGCCGCCAGGAAAATCATGCCCATGTAGCCTGCCATTAAAAACGGTGCAAGGCGAGAAAGCTTGAAACCGGATCCCCAGACTATGCAGCTAACACTCCAGAGCGAAGTTTGTTGAGGCGATGGGCATGAAAGACACCCGCCCGGGCGAGATCTTTGACTGCTGTCAGCTGGGTAAGGAATTGTTTGAGTTGTGGCCAGGCTATAGGCTGTACTGAACGGCTAGCAGGGTTCATAGAGTACTGGGAGCAGGTATGAGACGTGAAAGCTTACCGTGGCGTCTAGTAAGCTATTCAGGACAGAGGTGCCAGCTAATAGCTTCAAGTTTCAAAGCTTGGGAGCTCTATCGTACAGAGCCGGTGCCATATGTCTGCTAGTGTAGCGCAACTTGCTTGAAACGGGGTCAGGAAGTCTTCAATGTAATCTAAGCACCGATGCTCAAAATGGTCGTGCTTCGTGTCGCCGTGCATTTGCTGCAATTAGTTTGCATCGGGTGTCCGGATCATGAGACGTAGCCTTCTCAGGATTAACACGAACGTGGAGGAGTACTCAGAGTGCCCTGGCTAACAATGGGACCAGGCTAGGGCCTGGGTCTGGATGTAAAGGGGTGGTAGGCTGAATGTACCTATATGAAGAGAACTGCCAGCAGTGCCTCAGCATTTCTTTGGCAAGTTGAGAAACTAGTACTTGGCAGGCATACTCCTGTGTGTATTACAGTTTCATGATGTCGTCGCTTAAAAAAACTCACCAGTTGGCTTGGAAGATTGGAATAGCACTTGCAACTCTGCATCCTACAGCAAAGGTACAATTCCCTTGCATCGTCACGTATAGCTCAGCCGAACACGCTGCGGCATGCTGCTGAGAAGGCGGGGCTCCTGTTTTCAGAGCTCGGCATCCGTTTTAGGGTTTGGGATCGTACAGTTCGGTCTGCGGGAGGTTCAGGAATGCCATGCAGTTCGAGAGTCTATGTCAGGCTGCGCAGCTTGTGACATGCAAACATCTGTAGACCTATGTGGAGATGTCTTGGCTTTGATTAGAAACAGTACTTC